CCAGTGGTGGGAAGAGTAGGTTCGGCGACTCAGCGGCTCGGCAGCTCGGCGGCTCGGCGGCTCGGGCGACTCGGGCGACTCGGCGGCAAGGCGGCTCAGCAGCAACTGCAGCTCAGTAGCTCGGTGACTCGGCGGCTCGGCGGCAGGGCGGCTCGGCAGCAACTGCAGCTCAGCAGCTCAGCGACCCGGTGGCTCGGCGGCAAGGCGGCTCGGCTGTGGGGCGGCTCGGCTGCTGCAGTGGGAGATGAAGGAGGAGGAGAAGCAGGGGAGGCCACACACCTGCCACCCCTCTGCTGGCCTCTCCCGTCGCCTGTCAAGGCGACCTGAGGGGGCCGCTTGCGGCCCCCGAAGGAGCCGCGACGGGCTACGGGAAAAGGGGGGGTGGGTGGTGGGGGGCCGGTAGGTGCAGCGGCGGGGCCAGCAGGTGCAGTTGCGGGGCCGGTAGAAGGGGACGGCAGGAGCCGTCAGGAGGGGACGGCGGGGCCGTCAGGAAGGGACGGCGGGGCCGTCAGGAGGTGACCGGGCCGCGACGGGGGCAGGCGGCGGGGCCGCGTAAGGGCCTGGGCGGGGCCGCGACAGAGCCGTCGGCGGGGCCGCGTGAAAGCCGGGGCGGGGCCGCGTAGAAGCCGGGGCGCGGCCGCGCGAGAGCAGGCGGCGGGGCCGCGAAGGAGCCGGGGCGGGGCCGCGTGAGAGCAGGCGGCGGAGCCGCGTAAGGGCCTGGGCGGGGCCGCGACAAAGCCGTCGGCGGGGCCGCGTTAAAGCCGGGGCGGGGCCGCGTAGAAGCCGGGGCGGGGCCGCGCGAGAGCAGGCGGCGGGGCCGCGAAGGAGCCGGGGCGGGGCCGCGTGAGAGCAGGCGGCGGGGCCGCGACAGAGAGGGCGGCGGGGCCGCGTCAGTGAAGGCGGCGGGGCCGCAGGGGAAATGGCGACCCGAGGGGTCGCTAAAAAAAAAGATCGCGCCTCAGGGGGCGCTTCGGTGGGCCCAAAAAAAAACGGTCCGTAGAAGGACCCGCTCTATACCATGTGAGAATAAGCGAACAGGAATGAATGAACTAGCAGTGAAATGAGTACAAGTAGGAAACCCTAGAATTGTGTAACCCCTATAGGCTAACCCACTGTAGCCTACACAAGCATAACATATATAATGTTTGACATTGATGCCACTAGGTTCCGTGAAATTCGGTCTCGGAATACCCAGGTCTAGTCCCCAGTTCCAGATTATGCCCCCAGATGGGTTCTGAACTGACGGAAACAGCTGGTGACCGAGTGGGCGGCTATAGTACGACCGGAGATTTCGGATGAGAACTGCAACTGCAACTGCGGATTTTCAGGGTTGTGTTCAAACGACATTTTCGGAGTTTACGCGGGACTTCAAAGGTTTTACGGCGAGAAGCGGCGACAATTTCGGAGGAGAATTCGTCGTTTGGTTAAACGCGCGCGACATTTACGCAGGGCAACACCGCGGGAACTACACGGATTTTTCAAGGGGTACAAACGACTTACGACGAACTGAAGAAGGCGGCAACAACAGTGACAGGGGGGGGGGGGGGGGGGAGCGACAGCTGTACAATTTCATCCCTGCCCTTTAACTCTCGGCGCATTACGACAAATTTCTCGGAGAAACCATTCCAACTCTGCTACCGACAAATCGCCTTCGACCCGCCCACGACAACTGCATTAATTCTCAACCACGTCAGGTGCTGCCAGCTGCAGCTGCGGAAAGTACCACCAAAGTTCTCGGTTGGAATCACGACAAAATTCGACAGTTCGAGCAACGGCGATTTTTTCATCACGGTTTTTTGTCTACTTCTAAGGGTTCGCCCATGAGGAATTTCGGGGCACATACACCTGGTGTCGTCATCGCATTCCCACACCGACCTTGTCCCCTACGCTCAACGCTCGTTTTCAGTGGGACTACACATGGTTCTGTTGGGTTTTACTTCGGCGCAACTTAGAAGATTTTGTGGACAGCTTTCTTGGAGGGGGGGAGAAAGTGCGCTGCACTGTTCTTTCCTTGGCGTTTTTCTCGGTCCTATCTAACTTTGTCAGGTTGTGTCAGCACGACGGACGATCGCGATCACACCGACACGATCAACGGTCCCTACTCAATCGCGTTTGAATTCGCGTCAGCAGGTTCCCTGTCTTTTCGCGTCAGTCTTCGACCGTCAGATCTACGCCTGCTCGATCTACGGCCCACATTCCAACTTCTACTTCATTTTGGGCAGCTCTGAGAAAGTTTGAAGAAAGAAGAGGGTTGCACTAGCAAGAATGGGGATACAAATAGCAAACCCTAGAAGGGTTGTACTCGCTATAGAGCACCCCACTACAGGCTAGAGCATAAGATAACATTCTGACACACCCCCATAGCCAAAGTGGGGTGTAATCAGCAGAGCAAGCAAAGCAGTACAAGCTCAGGGTGGATCACAATGTCACCACACATTCTGAGCACAAGTTCAAGAAGCAATAGTTTAGAGTTCACAATTATGAGCAAAGCTAGTGGTAGTCACAACGGGCAAGTGGGGAGGAGGAGAGAGAGTGAGGGGAGAGGAGATAGGAGGCGACGGCTGAAGCTGCAGACACACGGGCAACAGTAAGCAGACTGGCACAGCGGCTACCGGGCGAAGCCCCCGGAATACTGGAGTAACTGGCCCCGCGGCTAAAGTAGCGGCAGACGAGCAACGGACCCACGGGCGGCTGGCGTAGAAGTCTACGACTGGGCTACCGGGGGGAAGTCCCCGGAATACAGGTGCTGCTGGCGACACGACGGCAACCTCCATGCAGCTTCCCCAGACTATCCCACTCCTCCTGGCACACACCCGCTGCTACACCGCTAGCTCCACTCCCACGCACCCCCCTTAAACCCTAAACCCCAGTCTCCCACACATCCACCCCCCTCAGCGACAGCTGCAGCAGTGGGAGACGAAGGGGAGGAGGAGCAAAGGGAGGAATGAAGAAGTGCTACCCCCATACTCGCCACCCCCTACTTGCCACCCCCAAACCCTAACACAGGCAGGGTGGGATGGCGGGTAGGCAGGGTGGGATGGCGGCGCTCGCCCCCCTCCCCCAGGTAAGTCCTCCCGTCGCCTGTCGAGGGTCGCCTCGACAGGCGACGGGAAAAGGGGCCGGGGCGCAAGTAGGGCGGCGGGGCCGCAGGTGTAGGGCGGCGGGGCCGCGAAGTTGGGGCGGCGGGGCCGCGACAGAAGGGCGGCGGGGCCGCGAAGTGGGGCGGCGGGGCCGCGAACGTAGGGTGGCGGGGCCGCGAAATGGGGCAGCGGGGCCGCAAAGTGAGGCGGCGGGGCCGCGACGTGAGGCAGCGGGGCCGCGAAGTGGGGCGGCGGGGCCGCGACGGGTCCCCGTCGCCCGTCGCGGCGCCTCCAGAGGGCGACGCGGCGAACGACGGGGCAGAAGCCCGCCGCGCGCCTCGGGGCGCACAGCGGGCAGAGAACCGCCGCGCGCCTCGGGGCGCACGGCGGGCAGAAAACCGCCGCGCGCCTCGGGGCGCACGGCGGGAAGAAAAAGTTGCAGCGGAAGCGAGGAGGTGGTAACCCACCCACAGGATCGATCCAAGGGGATCGACCTGCTCTGATGGCATGAGAAAGTTTGAAGAAAGAAGAGGGTTGCACTAGCAAGAATGGGGATACAAATAGCAAACCCTAGAAGGGTTGTACTCGCTATAGAGCACCCCACTACAGGCTAGAGCATAAGATAACATTCTGACAAGTTCATCTTCGACCGTCAGATCGAAATCTGACTTCATCAACGGCCTACATTCCAACCTTTTCAAAATTATTGTCAAAGGCATTTCGGCCGTCGGATTCAGCTAAAGAGGAGATCTACGGAATCCTTGCTAGTGTGGGGCCTGTTTCAGTGCAGGGCTGCCTTATTTAGAAGGTGGGAGATTGTAAGGATTTACAAATCCTTACTGAGGCACTCGTTAGCGAGGCCATCCCGAGGGTCACGCGACGAACCTGACCTTCCTATTTCGTCGCACCGAACCACTTCCGAGTCGGCCTCCGCTCCAATCGCAACCATCACCGAGCCATCCCATCCCGAACCCCCCGCCTAGCTAAATTTTCCCCTATTTAGGCCTCGCTACTTCATTGTTTCTTCATTCAGTAATTCTGTAATCAGTTCATTCTCGTTATTCGATATTCTGTGCACTCTGCAAGTTGATTCATAACAAATCTGTTCACTGGTAATCATGGATTTTCAGTCTGGTGCGTTATGGTCCAAAGAGGTAAAAACTACGAATTGTTCTAAAACTTCCTGCGGTGTATTGTACCCGATAGAAACGATAACCCCGCCGAAAGATAGTAACCCCGCCCTCAAAAGAAGCTGACACACGGTGTCGCAGGTGTTAGGCGTCCACACGGGCCCACTTGGCTATAGTGCGGCCCCGCCGTTCTTTCCACCAAGCCCAACACTTCAGCACAGCTGTACGAGACTGATCCAATGTCGTCAGCTCACCCCGCCAAACAAGCGCAGTACCTGTTGGCTCGCAGGGCGAGATTTCCGTCTTCTGGCATCTCAGCTTTCGCCTTGACAGTGTAATATACCCCCAAAAAAAAAAAAAAAAATGCTTTCGCCTTGAGCTCGCGTATCTGGTTACCAGCGTCGCGAGATAGCCGGGTTACTTTCGTGTTGTAACAGGCTATGTGAGGGGCAGCGGCTTACTCTCACCGACCGCGCCGCGCCATAAGCAGACCGCATCGCAATTGATGTCAACCTCAGGCGACTTGCATCTGTGCGCGCACGAGCCAGCTCCTCGGAGGTTCGAGAGGGCGAAATTAGTGGGGTTGAGTGCGAAATTCTGCCATGCGACCGTACACCTCCTATATACAAAAGCTTTGTTCCTGATCTCATCGAGACAGTTCCAATCACGTTCTCCTTCTAGCAACAAATCATTTCCCACTCAGCCGTCCATCCTTGGTAACCAAGCAGATCGCAGCCCATCCCTTAGAAGTAAACCATACTGCGTAGCGAGTTCTATCCAGACTCTATCCATGGCGAATTCCAAAGCTGGTCTCCTCGTGCTCCTCGTTGCCGCCGCGACTCTGCTTCACGCCTCGGGGCAGACGGAGCCATTTCTGGTAACCAAGGCCCGTCAGACCCGCGCCGCCGCCATCAGCGCCACCGCCGATTCCCAGAAAGCCGACGCGCTCGCCGCGCAGCGCGCCCTGGAGCTTCTCGCTGCGAACAAGACTCTCGCCGACGCAACTGCCGCTTATAACGACGCGTTACCACTCGTGAACCGCCTCAAGACTGTCCTCGCGACAAAAATCACGGCGAAGAACATAACCGCTGCAGCCATCCCCGCTGTGCAGGATAAGCTCGATGCAGCCACGGCAATTCTGGAAAAAACCAAAGCGTCAGGCACGAGCCTTGCGGATCTGAAAGCAGCCGTCGAGGACGCAAAGAAGCGCGTCGAGATGACGGCCCAACAAGTTGAGGGCCAGCAGGAAGAGCTCTACGACGCGCAATCGACGGCCATGCAGGCGGCGAAGGACGCTGCTAACCCTGATCTGACGCCCACTGAAGCCGCGGCTGCTCAGACCGCGTTGACCGACGCGAATGCGGCGCTGGCGCTCGCGAAGCAGATTCTCGACGACATGATCTCACAGGCGAATCGCGCAGAGCAGCTGGTGGCGAAGCGACAGGATGCACTGGACAACCCCGACTCGGCGAACGCCGTGGTTGCGGCGCAGCAGTCGGCGGTTGACGACGCGCAGGCAGCGCTGGATGCGGCGGTGAAGGCGGACGCGGCGGCGGCGGCGGCGGTGACGAAAGCGACGACCGACGTGAACGACGCGAGCGCGGCGATTCCGATCAAATCCGCGGCGGTCTCGAACGCGAAGATCTTGCAGAGCAAGGCTGTTACGCTGAAAACGAGCGCGGATAGCTCTGCTGCGACGATGAAGTCCAGGATGAACACCGCTGTGTCTGCTGCTCAGTCCGCTGAGGCTGCTGCGAAGACTGCTGGTTACACGTGGAATTGGTAACTTCGAGAGTGTCACAATGGGTGGATGGAATCTGATGCGGCTATTACAAGGGGCTGAGTAAAATCTGAGTGATCGACCTTCGACGCACTGCAATGGGGGACGTGTCCTTCATTGCATTGCATCCCAATAAATCTTTCACTCTAATCCTTCATTTCATTGCTTTTATCTGTTCAGAAGTGTGTATGTCCGCTTCATTATTTAAACAAGCGCGTATCGTGCTATTAAGGAATCATATCTCCCTCGACTTAGTTGTGGAGCTCTTCAAGCCGCCTAAGCAAGAAGAATCTTAGGATGACTCCGAACCATCCCATAACCTCCAGACCTCAAGCTGCCTGCAAGTTCAATTCCGAGTGACGCCTTGTAGCATTTTCGACCTTCCAGCTGGACAGAATATCTAAGGTACATTATGCCGGCACCACAGCTAGCAAACTCTGGAAGAGCATTCACAAAGACTCACGCTCTAAATTCCACGACGATTTGGACGAAGCCCTATGTGTTTAGGGTGAGATTCTTAGTTTCCATTCCAAGCCAATCTCAAACGAATTCCATGTAGTCATCTAACTTCCTACTTAGTGCCAGTTTTTTTTTTGGGTTGCGAAGCAACCTATTACAATCGTTATGTACAATTTTTTTTCAATCCTCAATACTTTAAAAAATAAAGTATGGAAAAAATATAGTGAACGGTACTAGCTAAGGGTACATTCCGCTGTAGAATATGTCCCAATCGATGTGTCTCAATCGATTGGGACGCGTAAGGCCAGCATAAGCTGCCAGGTGTCGGAATGCCGTAGCGCTCGTGAAGGTCGCCGACTGTAATTATCATTGGGTGGCGTGATTCTCGGAACTGTCGCCAGCTAATTGCAACACTACCCAGCAATCGCACGCGGCCCCAAATGTCATCCCATGCATAATGTATCTGGACCACATTTTGCGACACCCAGTTTCCCCCCAAACGCGTTCGGAGCACCCTCATTGGAGGAAACGAACCACGCAGAATTATTGACAGGGACGCGCACAGCCCCGCCAATGTGCCCTCCCCCCGTCCCAGTGCACCTCCGCAACAACTCCTTCTCTCAAACCAGTCAACGTTGTGCTCTGTGTGTGAAATTGTGCTCTATCATCTTCAACCATCGCGATTAGCTCTAGATCCTGATCTGAAAGCGAGCCCACCGCAAGCATGGCTCGTAAGCGCAAGGGGCATGCTCTTAATGACTGCCCCAAGGACTTAAACGAAATCCCGTACATCCGCTGGATGAACCAGCAAATCGCCAACGGCCGTCACCCCAGGGGCTTGTCCGCGCCACCCGTTCTTGACGGCCAGGGGTCTACTACACCGTCGCCTACGGCTGGGCCGTCGCGTATGCGTCGTCAGCCTACCAGGACGGCGGCAACACACCGGCCCGCCGTGGAGGAACACGTAGCAGATGACGACGACGACGAAGGCGATGACGACTTTGCCTCCGACGACGAGGACGACGAACCTGAGGACCAAGGAATGTCGCCCACCGACGACGACGACGAGGAGGACGCCGATGACGCCGAGGACGACGACACCGAGGAAGCACAGCCGCGAGCCCCGCCGCCGAAACGGAAAACCGCACGCAAGGCCGCGTCTGATAAGGGCAAAGGCAAGGCGGCGCAACCTGCAGCGCGCCCGGAGCCGCGTAAGAAACGGGCTGCTGCACCTGTCGAGCGCGGTTTATGGTCTGACAAGGAGAGCACCATCTTCGCTGCGGCAAAGTGGTTTCTCAAGGAGGAGCTCGAGCCCCTCAAGGGGAAACAGGGTACCCAGTACTGGGCGCGGCTACTCGCACATATCAAGGAGTCGAACCCCGGATGGATCCGAGGTGTCAATGCGCTCCAGAAACAGTGGCGTAACCTAATAGTGCTATGGCGTGAGTATAAGAAGGCCGACGAGGGGTCGGGCAACGGCTCCGTGGAGAAACCACCTTGGTACCCGTACGTTGACCTGCACAACCAGGACACCGCCGCAGCCGCACCTCATGCCGTGGACGGAGGTGGCGCGAATAACGTCAACGTCCCGGCAGGCATGGAGGTTCCGCAATCGTCCCAGCCAGGCACGTCAACCCCTTGTTTCATTGGTGAGTCCGGAGATTTATCGCTCACGTTGTGGTTCTCGTCCACGTTGTTTCTTGAACATTTTAATAAAAAAAAACATGCATGCAACGCACACCGACAACGGGTTATTCTATGAGCTAACACTAATGCGAATGTCCCTGCTATGTCGCAGCTCCTCCGCCAACGACTCCTGCCACACCGAGGCGTGCCCGGGTGCATGAGACGGCCACCATGCAAGCGGCCATGCTCGTATCTGCCACCATCAAGGACTGCCATGGCGACGCTATGAACCGCATCGAAGGCCTCGTCCGTGAATGGATGGCGCAAGATCTCAGACTTGCCCTTGAGCGTATGACAGAGTCGGCTCCCCCGGATGTGCACCGCGCGCCCCATGAATTCTCTCCACCGCCGCCACGTGGGGAGTCCGCGCCTGCTCCCGAAACCGCACGGACGCGTGTGGACGAGGGCGACGGCGACACCGCTATGCCGGCGGATGAGGATGTGGAAGTATGGGTTCGCGGCGCCGACGATTAGCGCAAGATGACTGCAGCGCCTCCCCTAGTCGTTTTCGCCTTTCCCTGAGTGCTTGTTGTGTAGGGGGATCGCACGGTTCCCATTTGAATGCCGCGACAGCACCCCGCGTCCACCACGGATCTCGGTTGCGTGGTATGTTCGCCCATGCCATGTTGCGCCGCCTGACATCCTGCATGTCTTCACACATGTTGTGCAGGATGATACAACACGCGGCCCCGGCGAGTAAGCGCCACAGCCTGCAGTCGTTGCGCTGGCCGAAGATGCGCCATCTCCCCTTGAACGCGCCAATGCATCTCTCGACGGCCATGCGTGTGGCGCTTTGGCAGTAGTTGAAAGTTTGTGCCCAGTCGTCCATGAGGTCCTCTCCTCGTGGGGCATGCAGGGGTGTTAGGCAGTACTCCCGTAGTGGGTAGGCCGCATCTGTGGAAACAAAGAACGAGAATGAATGACTATGAAGTGAAGTGAATACAAATAGGAAACCCTAATGTGTTGTACCCCCTATGGGATACCCCACTATAGCCTACACAAACAAGTAAGCTATATGTTCTGACACACCCCCATAGGCAAAGTGGGGGAGAACAAGGGGTCACAAGACCAGTCAAGCTAAACAAAGCAAAGCTCAGGGTGGATCACAAAGTCACCACGCATTCCGAGCACAAGTTCAAAGGCCACAAGGCCAGTTCACATGCAAGATCATATATAGAGATATACAAGAGCAAGAGTATATATATGCGAAGTTACAAGCAAGGTCAAGAGGAGAGCAAGTGAGGCAAGACAGGCACAAGACCCAACTGCGTGCAGCAACGCTGATGATCACAAGGCGCAAGTGCCTTGGTGAAGACATCAGCAGTGTTGGCCTCAGAGGCCACGTACGCAAGTCGCAGCTGTCCACGCTGCTGTAGCTCACGAGCAAGAAAGTAGCGAAGAGCAATGTGCTTCGTTCTGTGCTCCAGTCGCTGCTCTCGACACAAGGCCAGCATGGCCTTGTTGTCTACGTACAGGACTAGAGGAGAACGAGGCTGCTCTCCAAGGTCGGTCAGCAGGTAGGTGAGCCAGCGTAACTCCTGTGCAGCCATAGCCCCAGCGTAGATCTCAGCCTCACAACTGGAGCCGAGAACAGAAGACGAGCGTGTAGCCCGCCACGAGACAGAGCCGGAACCAAGGCTGAAGGTGTAACCCTGTGACGACCGCTGCGTAGCCTGGTCGTCAGCCCAAGAAGCGTCTGCGTGCCCAGTGAGGACCACTGGACTGCGCCCTCCAAGCACTAGCCCCATGCCCGACGTACTGCACAAGTAGCGCAACACCCTCTTCGCTGCAGCCATGTGCTCTGGTCGGTGTCTCCCAGGAGCAACAAAGCGTGCAAGAATGCTAAGAGGGTATGCGAGGTCAGGTCGTGTGCAGGTCATCAGGTACATGAGGCAGCCAACAAGCTCTGCAAACGGGCCACTTGACTCTACGGACTCATCCGAAGGCAGAGCTGAGAGCGAGTGGCGAGTAGGCAGAGGAGTGGCCTGAGGCGAGGAGTACGTGAAGCCGAAGCGCTGAAGGACCTGCTGCACCATGTGTGACTGAGTCAGGGTAATGGTGCGGCGTGCTCTGTCCCGGGTGATCTGCAAGCCAAGGTAGCTGCGCAGTTCACCCAGGTCAGTGCACGTGTGTCTCTTCTGCAGCTCGGACTTCACGTAGGCGAGTCCAGCAGTGTCAGCTGTGGCAAAGACCAAGTCGTCGACGTACACGAGGATGTAGAACGGCGGCAGAGAGGTGTCGGTGCGCAGAAACAGCGACGGGTCGGCATTGGAAGGAGCAAACCCAAGTGCCGCGAGCGTAGTCCTCAGTGTGTCGTGCCACTCACGTGGCGCCTGGCGGAGACCGTAGACTGGACGCCGGAGACTCCACTGGGTACCAGGAGGGAAAGACCCAGTGAAGCCAGGTGGGCGACGCAGCCAGATCTCCTCGTGCAGGCTGCCCTGCAAGAAAGCTGTGCTGAAGTCGAGAGAGTGGAGCTCGTAGTCACGGTGAGCAGCAACGTGCAGCAGAACCCGAAGAGTGGTCATCTTCGGGGTGGGGGAGAAGGTCTGAAAGTAGTCAACCCCCTGCCGCTGACTGAAGCCACGAGCCACGTAACGCGCCTTGAAGACAGGCGGAGAACCCGGCGGCCGCTTCACCCTGAAAATCCACATGCCACTGACGATGTTCGCCCCAGGAGGGGGAACAGCGTCAACGTAGGTGCCTGTGGACTTCCAGGAAGCCATCTCTGCATCCATAGCTGCCTGCCACTGAGAGGAGTAGGGACCCTCTATCGCCTCCGCGTAAGAGCGCGGAGTCGGGATGTCTGGTGCATCCGGGTCTCCCTCAGGGGCTAGCAGTACAGACGCGAGACGAGGTGAAGCGGCGGCCAGACACTGGAACTCCTCCTGCCTGTCCTCAAGGACGTCCGTGCCAAGGGCACACTCACCCCCGACGGACGGAGGACAGGGGGACTCAGACTCAGTGACAAGACAAGCAGCGTAGTCTAGACGACAGCGCGCAGCAAAGTCGACAAGCTCAGTGACAAGGGAAGACGCAGCAGACGACTCGAAGGAGGGGTCAGTGACAGCAGTAGCCAGGAGACGCGTGACAGTAGGACTGGCAGCACGAAGAGAGTCCGACTCCGGGTCGGCAAGAGCAGGAAGAGAGGAAGCAGGAGGAGAAGGCAAAGGGGCACGCAGAGGAGCAGTGGACGGACGCAGTGACATCCGGTGTGTGCCAGGGACAGAAGGAGGACGCTGACGCGACCCGCGACCACTAGCGCGCTCAGTACGAACAGGCGACACAGGACGAGACGCAGGCTCACGACGCTCAGTAAGACCTCCAGTCGGACCAGCGTAGGGAGAAGGAGCAGGCAAAGGGGAGGCAGGCTGTAGCTGTGGCTGTGACCGGACAGGCTGCGGACCCTCTAAGGGAGGAGGAGGAGGTGTAAGACCAAGAACCTGCTGCAGGAGCGGAACGAAGTACGGTCGGGGCCGCGCGGCGACGCTAGAAACAGCAGGAACAGCACCAGCAGCCCCGGCAGGTGAACCCACTCCAGCAGCACCTCCAGCAGCACCACCAGAAGCTCCAAAACCTCCAGCCGCAGCACCAGGAGCACTGTCAGTCGGACCGCCAACGGCAGGCTCAGCGCCAACACCCTCAGCAGGACCAGCTCCAGGAGAACTCTCAGACTCAGCAGCTCCAGCACCCACAGTACGAGCACCGGCGGGGCGCGCAGCAGCAGTACCCTCTGCAGCCGAAGAACCACCAGCACCAGCAGCACGCCTCCAGCGCCTGGCAAACCACTCACGCAGCTCCTGTGGGGAGAGTGGCTCCAGGCGAGACGAAGCACCCCCAGGCACAGCACCTCCAGGCTCAGCACCCCTAGACACAGCACCCCCAGGCACAGCACCCCCAGGCTCAGCACCCCCAGGCTCAGCACCCCCAGGCTCAGCACCTCCAGGCTCAGCACCCCCAGGCACAGCACCCCCAGACTCGGCACCTCCAGGCTCAGCACCCCCAGGCTCAGCACCCCCAGACTCGGCACCTCCAGGCTCAGCACCCCCAGACTCCGCACCCCCAGGCTCAGCTCCCGCAGCAGCACCAGAGTCACCAGTGACCTCGACAGGCTCGACCGCGTCTACCTGGGACACACCTGAAGGGGCAGGACCCTGAGGGGGGAGGGGGACTACCGGGGGGGGACCTGGTACCAAGAAGAGCGGGGGCGGGGGGAGGGACGGAGTGCGGTAGGGGAAGAGGCGGTAGTAGGGTACCGACTCGTCGAACGTGACGTCCTGGGAGGACAGAACACGTCGAGAGGAGGGGTGGTAAAACTGCCACCCTGGGGCGTCGGGGGGGAACCCCAGGAAGACGCAGGGAGAAGCACGAGGGGACAGCTTGTCCGCAGACAGGTCGCGAACAAACGCCCGAGATCCCCAGACCCGGAACGCCGACGCATCGCCAACCTTCCCCGTCCACAGCAGGGCTGGGGAGGTCTCCGGTCGAGAGACCCTGGGGTGGAGGTTGATCTGGTGCGCAGCGTAACTGACCGCAAAGGGCCACAGAAAATGGGGAGCAGCCACATGCATCATGGACGTACGAGCGACGTCCATGACCATGCCAATGCGGCGCTCAGCAATCCCATTCTGCTGTGGTGAGTACGGAAGCGTGAAGGTCTGACGGATGCCTTGCGCACGACAGTAGGCACTGAGGAGGCCAGAGGAGAACTCTCCGCCTCTGTCCGAGTGCAGACGCAAAACAGGGAAGTCAGAGCCTAAGCTCCTCCGAAGCTGGAGACGAGCTGCGCGGATCCAGTCGATCAACACCTCAGTGACCTCACCCTTGCTGCTTAAGGGGAAGACTGTGGTGTAACGCGAGTAGTCGTCAACCACCAGCAGGAAGTAGCGCTCCTGACCCTGTCCACGGACGCGGGCTGGGCCCCACACGTCCATGTGAAGCGTCTGCAACGGGGCCTCTGTCGGAGGAAACTGGGAGGAGTGAGGGGCAGCACGCTGGCGCCCCTCGACACAGGGGACACAGGTGGGGCGAGGGCCCAGAGGAAGGGGAGGGAGAGACCGGGGAAGACCAGACACAAGGACTCGCGAGGCCATGCCTCTGAGCCGAAGCAGAGAGGGGTGGCCAAGGCGGTGGTGCCAGAGGAGGGTCTCGTGAGACAGACGACGGCACGAGCAGGGGGCAGACTCAGGACCAGACCTGGACGCTGCAGCAAACACCTGACCAGACTCAGCACCTGGAGGAGAAGCAGTGGTCAGTGTGTACAGGCTCGACCCTGGCCGACGTGTAAACGTAGCCAGGTGGCGACCTGTATCCGCCTCCGTGCAGTGGGTCACCCGCTGACGAGCAGGGGTGAACTGGTGGACACCCGCATCCTAGAGGTCAGCACCACTCACCAATTTCGTCGAGAACGAGGGGAGGTAAAGACCAGTCAGGGTGCCAGAGGGGGCCGCCGGACACGGGAGGACAGTGGAGAA